GTTGTGCGCTCATCTCACTCTAGAGGCCGGGAGCCGGCGCCGTCCGCAGACACTTCCGGGTCACGTGGCCAGTGTGACATAGCTGCTCTGGCGAGCCTGCACCAGCGCAGCACACGGAACGCCGTTTACCTTCCCGCTATGAAGCGGTACTGTACTATAAAGTTGGTACTGTACTATAAAGTTGGTACTGTAGGGTTTGGCAATTTAAATGTTGCAGATGTGTAAATAGTAGAACACATATAGATAAGTGATGGCTGTAATTAGTGTGGGTGGTATTCAACCAAGTTGTTGGGTTCATGAAACAAGGTTGTTCGTGCAACAGATCTTTTACTTCTCTCCTCTCCCAGCGCCATTAACTAAATCTGCTCTGGAGGTTGGGGGAAACCCTTGGGACAGGTTTAAGAGATGCATGCAGCGGGAGAGGGGGGAAAGTATTGTTGCATTATGTTGAATTCCACCCAATTTAGGGTTTTATTCCAATGACCATAGGCATGCCATAGCTACACAGCTCAGGGAGTGTGCAGTTTGTCTACCACCAAAGGTTACTGGTAGCTGAAGACATAGAACAAATCGGGTGGTAGTCAGCTAATTTTTTCTCAGAGTAAATCCACCGAAATTAATGGCCCTCACTTAGTCATGTTTATTAATTTCAATATGACTACTCTGAGTAAAACTTAGTTGAATATCACCCATAAGGCAACATGCAATAGGTTTAGATTAAGGAAAGATTCAGACAGTCAAAGCCTACATAGGAGATATTCTTGTACTGGCCAGGCAGAAGTCTTACATGCTATGGGACTCATTGTAGTGTTCCTCAAGGTACAGCAACTCAGATAATGAGTGGTGGACTAAGCTGAACCTACAGTTTATTTCCCACATGAATGTCTACATGAAATCAGCTGAAGCCAGATACCTAATAGTTCATGGCAAGATGGCTGTTTCCGTTCTGCTCTTTCCAATGTACAGTCTATAGCAGGACATGGTGGGACAGTCACCTTTTGGCACTGCTGATGTAATGCTCCAATCCAATGTCACTTCTGGAAATTTTCCAGGCTAAGTATGGGAGATATAGCAACTCCGATGACATAAGAGGCTAGATATAATCATGGCCTGGAAGATGCTTCTTAGGCTTGGCAACTGTTTGTCCCTTCCTTCCTGTAAAACCTCTTTTTCATAGGGCTTATGAGATCGCATAAGATAAGCTGAGGAACTGTCTTGGATGATGAGTAGGGAAACTGTATCCCAGTCTTCTTGCACACCTCCTGCAAAGGAATTTGTAGGGGCTGGGTTCTCAATGAATATGTCTCTAAGGGGTGTCTTGAAATTAGCTGGTCTTTTCTCCCACGGCTTCTTCTGAGAATGTTTTTCATAGCCTGGAGATTGTCCTGGTTCCTTTAATTAGCACTGACACCATCCTTAAAAAAATAAAATGATATCACCAGCTTGTGAGGCTCTTTAGAGTGACATCTGTTTATTCATATTGATGTTCTATTTATACAAAGAGCATCAGTTCTGAGAAAAGCTACTGGATGTTCAAAGTATCACCTTGATGCATGAGACTTTTAAAATTTGCGCTATTTAATTTGTGGCAGCCAGACGAAATATGATTAAATGGTAAATCATAATCATGATGAGACTTCAAGCATCATAGTAAACAAGAGGCTGTGCTATAAATCACAAAGTCCCTGGTTGAAAACTTGCCACTGCCATGAATTCACAGTGCTGCAGTCTTTGTTGCAGGTCTGCAGTATGGGAACAATAATACTGACTGACCTTATGAGCTTGGTATAAGGATTACAGTGTAATGGATGTGAAGGACTTTGAGAAGTCTAAAGCACAAAATAGATGGCAGGGATAACTATCACTATGACCTGGGTCTCACCAAGATGGTACACCATACCTGCTGGTACATACTGACATGATAAAGGGTGCTCTTTCATACAAAAGGAATCCCTGCACAGGGAAAAATATATGTCAGAGAGAAGGATTCTAGTCTAGCTTCCTCCCCGATGTGCTAGTTTCCTTTGTTCAGGGACTTCTGTTCAGTCATGAGAGTCTCCACTTACAGTCTCAAGTAGCACAGCCCAGAAGCAGGTATGTTAGTAAAAAATGAGCCTAGATTGAATGCCTTTCACATTAAAATGGCTTCCTAATTATCAGCTCTTCTGGAAACAGAAACCTTGGCATCTAAACCCTCCAAGTAAGTCATGTTCTTTTTTAAAAAAATAATAGCCCAAACCAACTCAAGTGAGTTCTCACCTGTGCACAAGGATCTGTCCCTCCAAAGTGCACAAAAGCCAGTGTAAGTCGGCTTCTATAGGCATCGTGGTTCTCCAGGAAACAGCAGCATCAATGCTTGCCCTGAACCAAAAGCCCTTCAAGATGTGCGAAAAGATGCCCCCCCCTCTTGCCTCTGAGGAGTCATACCCCAAAGGTCACCAGCTTGCTTTGTTGCTCTAGCCGACAAATAACCACACAACACTGCATGTCCAAAAAGTAAACCAAAGATGTAGAATAAGAACATAGGTTGTGCAGGAGGCAACAAAGCACAAATACAGTTTCTATCCTACATGTTCGTCCCTAGTGTAAGGAAATAACATTCTAGTATCACCCAACATAAGCAAACTATAGGGGAGCTGCCATCTCTGTCTCGCAATAAGGCACAAGGGAATGCAAACACTTCAACAGCTATTGACTTTATCACTAAACCTCATAATCCTTCCACTTTAGGGTGGCCGAGTAGACTGCTTTTCCCCCCTTGGTCATCTCTCTAGGAAAGTTCTAGTCTAGCTCCACTTCTGCAAAGGTTGAATACACATTTGTGCCAATCCACCTTTCATATGCTGGCTGCCTAACTGGTCTGGCAGTTTTGTCAGGAAGATTGGATAGATAGGAAAATAAATGAAAACTACACCACAGGATGAAGTGACACTTTTATAAATGAATGAATTCATTTGGGCACAAGTGCAAGACATACCACTTCCGGTGCATGAAGTGGACAATAAAAGTGCTGAAAGTACACACAAGGGATGATGGTAGTAGAGATCTGCAAAAGAGAAACTTGCGCCCAAGGGACACAGAACCGTTCACCCAGTGGTTTCTCTTCATTCACATTTCTAATGCTCATTCTGTGCCCGTACACATTTTCTTACTCAGAGAGGATGTCCTCGATAAAGTGTAAAAGAAAATTGTTGGCAGCTATCAGTGACATATCATGTTGGGAGAAGTGAAGTCAAACAAACTCTTGATGGCTGCAGCAGCAGATGCTATTGAGCTCAGTAAGAAGGTTGCCCAAGTTCAGAGCTGGCGGCATTGGGTACTCGGGATATCCCAGGCATCAGCTGCCCCCCAGCTTCCAGAATCAGAACATATTTTTTACTCCCCACACCCCCAAGTAGATGAAGATATCCTCACCAGCCAGGAAGCTGTCATGTCTTTTTGCAGATTGGGGACTCAGGGAGGATAGTTTGAAGCCACTGGACAGCTCCTTGAGCCAATGTCAGCTTGACCACACTCTAGGAGATTAGCTGTCTCAGTAGCATGTTACAGGGGCCTTCTGAGGGCTGCCTGACCATCTACATCCTATTAGCCCCACCGTGCTCAATTAAAGGGCCATTGAGCTCTTCCAAACCACAGGTTCCTATGGGGTGGAGGCAGTGGGGACTGCACTGGAGGGGTGTTCTCATGACCCAGAGGAGTCAGACATGGTCATATAATTGAACCTGAATGGTCCAGGAGCGGGGGGGGGGGGGGATGTCTCCCCTTCCTTAGTGTGAGAATATGACAGGAGCCAACAACAGTCCCAGCACAAATTTGTCATACTTCCGTCAGATTTAGAACCACATTAAAGAACTTGATTATTGACATTTGGCTCACAGTCCTAGTAAAAATACACAAGGACCTGTTGCATATGTAAGAGAAGGAAATTAAGCTGATGGTATACCCTTTGCTCCTATATACATATAAGCGCAGCACAGGCCCTGCTCTTAGTATTTCTTGTGCGATTGGGACAGCTGAAAATTCTCACACGTTCCATTAACTGGATCAGATTCCAGCGGTGATGGGAGGGCAGGGAGTCTTGGTGAAGCAGCTCAATAGACCCAGGCCTCTCCTGAGTCCTGACATTAGGCCAAATATTCTGGGTCACATAGTTGAGATCCTCGTGATGAAACCCAATATAGAGGTGGATCAAGCGGTGCTCACCACATGGTGTTAATGTCCTCCTGCACTGACAGACCTGGTATGCCAAGCTAAGCTGTTAACCATATCAGCCCCACAGTGGGCCAAGCTAAGCTGTTAACCATATCAGCTCCACAAGATCAAGGGCATGACAGCTGGTGAATGAGGATCAGGGGCACACCGAGCCAACTTGGCCTACAAATGCTCCAGACTTTATAGTTACCTCATGGTTTTGGAAACCAGCGCAGGGCAAACATGATGTCACCCGTGTTACAGTTTTGCTGCCACTTAACAACATAATATCCACCCTGAAAATTTCCAGAGAACTTTGTTGTGTGTTCTTCTACCGCCTTGTAACCAGCGGCATATGAATGTGGCAAGGTTTATTTTTAAAGCACTCTTCATATTTCCTGTTCCTAAGCAATCACTAAGAGATGATTAGCACTCATCCTCAAATGGATAGGGCCATCCAGACTTCTCATGGGGGTGGGAAGAATACTTTATTAGTTACCTATAAAGTTCCCATTACTTTGCACACCCACCCACCCTCAAGCACTGTCCATTCTGAAATATCACTGTAAATACATGGAAAAGCAATATCACCCTTAGGAAAGTATTATCATGACATTAGTAATGTATTAAAGTGTCCAGTTGCAAAAAATAACAGTGCTACGGGTGGCTGTCTCCTCATTTCCCAAGCAATCAGAAGTTCCAGTGATAGCACTGCTTGGGATTGCCTACCTTTTGGAAGAGAGATAATAGATTTAGGAGATTTAGGGGATTTTTGTAATGTTTTTCTTTTTCTTTTCTTTTCTTTTTTTGCAAAAATAGGAGCATAGGTGGAAGCAAACAGCACAAGTACTCCTACCAGTTACAAGATCCACATGAGACCCCCCAGAAAGCAATACCTACACCCCGAGGTGCCTTCAGCTCACAACTTATCTCTCTTGCGCCACTTCTTTCGCTGTTCTCCAAACAGAATGACTCTGTTCTCCAAAATGGCAGCCCTCCCCACACCAAATGCTAAGAGCACCCTAACTGGGGGTGGGGGGTGGGGGTGGTGAATTTCCTTCCCTAAAATGGCCCTTACTTTTCAGAGATGATCAAGAAACTATCCTCTACCAATTAGTTCCCTAAACCAGGTATGGGGATTCTCTGGCCCTCCAGATGTTGTTGGACTACAACTCTCATTATCCCTGGCAATCGGCCATGCTGACTGAGCCTGATGGGAGCTGGAATCCACGAACTTCAGGAGTGACACTGGTTCCCCATCCCTGCGGAAGACAAATATCTAACAACCACCCTGAGGGAGTAACCTGCAATTTTCCTAGCAAAAGATGTCACCAGCCTGGCTGGTCAGCATTCAGAACAATATAATAATTACCACTGGAACTCTATGGATCACTTTGGACCAAGCAATTGTAGCATATGGGTGGGGGAAGATTCTTTAAACTCTAATTAATACCTCAGGATTTCAGCTATATCACATTAGGTAAATCAGAAGAGATGTTCCTTTTTTTCAGACAATATTTGAGGAGGGTGGGTAGGGAAGAGCTGGTAAATTATTTCTCCCACTTGTCCCTTGGAGAAATATTTTCTTGTAATTCCCCTTCAATTTTCATCTGAATTGGGAAGTTTGATATTTTGTTATATTTGATTTATTTGTTTACTGGATTTTTATTCTGCTTCTCAGCCAAAATTCCCCAAATGGAGAAGGAATATCAAGAACTGGCGCCTTGGGGAGACGGATACATAAGTAAGAACAATACTGATTTCCTGTTTGCTGGTAATGGCAGACATGCTGTAGTGCATGTGTGTGGCCAAAGATTGTGCCAAAAATGTTTTAAACATGTCTGTCAAAACTGCATTTAATCAAGCACACAGGGCACAATTCAGACAGAGTTAATCATTTTAAAACTCCCACTTAACTCTCCCCCATAGAAATCAACAAGGCCACAAGTGCTTAACTTTGGATGGGCAATGCTGGTAAAGTCTATCATAATTTCTGTGCAGTTGTCCTAAAGTGGCAACATCCAGTGCTGTTCACCTCCTTCCACAATGGAAATCCACTTGTGCAACAGGACCTCCAGCTTCTCTTCTTCCTCTGTAGCCCTTGTACTCTTCCTCCCCAAAATCTGCTACCAAGTGTCCCCCAATCCTCTGGAGAAGATTTGGGAGCTGCAGGAAGTGGGCGGAGAGGAAGGGAAAGGACCGCTGCACAAGCCTATGTCTGCTTGCACTGCATTGGATTTCACCTATATCAACAGTTCCAGAGCATCTCAGGTTTTTGAAATGTTGAGCTTTTAGTAGCAAAAACCAGATCTTGCTGAACTCCTCTGGGTACATGCCTGAGTAATTGTAGAAGTGACTGGACCTTAGGGGTAAAAGTAGAAGAGAATGTAGCTAACAAAACTGAATTCAAGATCTAACAGAATCCAGAGTACGGAATTGATTTCTGTATTCAGTTCTTATAGAGCTAATAATTTTACATGGGCACCCTGGAATTAAGTGGATCCTGTATTTTCCTGACTCTCCCATAATTTTATACTAGCTCTGTGCTTGGTTATTAAAACAGAAGAAAGGTTTTTCTAATACTCTATACCTCTCCTTTTATCCACTCCACTGATAGCAGTAAAATGCTTCAGATGGGCAAGGCCTGAAAAATAGGAAAGAAAAGAACATTTACCTTTCCACCGTCAAATCCTGGAATTAAAGCCTATTAAATGGCTATATCTGGGTAGGAAAAAAGCATATTCCTGTATTTCAGACAGAAACGATCCTACTACAAAGGATTGATCCTGCACCAAGAATGTAAAATTGCCAGTCCCTCCACCCAGAAAAACAATTCCCACCTCCCAATCAGTTCCAAGACCACATTCTGTTTCCAAAGTTTGGGAATCGTGTTAAATTGTTCTTTGTGGCAAACTCAATTTCCAGCATTTAAAAAATAAAAATAGCTTTCCCTCCGACATCTGTGGAAGTCCAGAAGTGCTAAGTGCTATAACATCACCATGGTTCAATATCCCACCAACCTGCGGGTTTTACTGCATAGTCATATTCGATGTCACAGAGTAAAGTTATTTGCAGCCAAATCCTCAGCATGTTTATTCCGAGGTGTCACGACTTCAATGGCACTTGCTCCCAAGAAAGAATGGTCAGAGCTGCAGCCTCAGCCGGCTGAGGTGGCTTCTTTTTTTGGGACAAGTAGGCCATAAAACTTTGCAGACTTTATCTGCCACTCCCTGATGAGACGGAACATTTTTAACAGTGGAAAAATTAGACTTACTAATGAAACTCGATGCTATTTTTAATGGAGAATAACCATTTCACCTAATAAAACATCCAAAGTCTTCAGAACCTTCAGAACTTCATGAAACTTTATGGCTATGCCTGGCCACTCTTATTACAAGGTAATGAGAGACTATAATGTATCTTGATCATGATGATCATTGTGACCGTGTAAATTCCAGCCACGTTAGTAATATTTGGTTTTGGAAAGGAAATCTGACATCTGGTAAAAGGCTTTGAAATTACTTGAGGATAGGATACCAACTGGTATGACACAGAAATGTGAAGACTCTTGTACATGCATCGTTAGGAGTTCACCTAGGAAGAAAGTGAATGTAGCCAAGAGATATAAACGATCTGTTATTAAACTGAGGCTGGAGATCAGAATATCTTTAATTATTAAATACAGTGGTATCTCAGGTTAAGTACTTAATTTGTTCCGGAGGTCCGTACTTAACCTGAAACTGTTCTTAACCTGAAGCACCACTTTAGCTAATGGGGCCTCCCGCTGCTGCATCTCTTAAACCTGCTGATTTCTGTTCTCATCCTGAAGCAAAGTTCTTAACCTGAAGCACTATTTCTGGGTTAGCAGAGTCTGTAACCTGAAGCGTATGTAACCTGAGGTACCACTGTAAAGTGAAACTGCGACACTGTCTTCTTCAAATAGTCATGATGACAAAGATATTTAGTTTCTAAAGGGTACATCTGTGGCAGGGATGGGGAATGTTTTCCAGCCCAAAGGATGCAGTCCCTTGTGGGGGAACTTGGGGTGTGAGGGTCTGCATGCTAGGGGTGTGTGGGACCAGAGGCAAAAGTGGATGGAGCAGGCAATGAATGTGACTCTTACCCTTCTACAGCAGGATATATTTCAGTCTTCTGTAAACACATAAGGCCCTCTCCATCCAAACATGTAAGGACACATACCAGCTAGGTAATAGCATTCAAGGAGGACATGGAGAAGGACCAGTGAGGGGTGTGGCCTGGGAAAGAGTCCCAAGAGCTGAATGGAAAGTCCTGGAGGGCCACATTGGAGCCTGAGGTTTTCCCCACCTTCGTGTGGGAATGTTCAGGGTGGCAGGAGAGGATATATTGTTTATTAATATCCTTCCTAACATGCTAGCAACTCTCTCAATTACCTTACTCCCTCAACCCCCAAAGCTGTAGTTTCAGATATTACAATGTAGAAAGGAGACTTGGCTATGATCATGTGCATAGTGAGCAGATTGGTTTTCGAGAGTGACTTCTCTGTCCATTACTGCACTGCAAAATAATGTCACATATAGCACTGCATATCTGTATTATAAGATGCATAACATAATTTATTTTCAGGTTTATCCATTGTATGGCAAAGTGACGAATACTAGTAAACTTGTGACGCTTACTGTTTTGATAGTGTTAGCTGAAGATATTGCAGCTTGTCCTTGCTCTGAATGTGACATGGTAGCAATCATGAATATGTGCTCATACACTCGCACACGCACAAACAAGGTCCTGCAGTTTTAGTTTAGCACAGCTTTGTATCAATAATTGGAAGCAGTAACATATTGATGGAGTGTGGGATTGGGGCCATATTAATGGGATTTTGCATGCCTTTCTGCCATGTCATTCTTGCGGACTTCACAGACTGCTAAAGGGTCAAGATGAGCTCTGTGTGGTTTGAGGAAATTGAATGCACTAATGTATTCCATACGAAAAACTTGTGTGACCAGGCTCAAAGTACATTAAGAGTGAGTAGTCTCAGCCTGAAACACTGGCTGGCAATCCATTTCAGAACCTCATACGCATTTTAGAATGTGTGCTTAAATTTTGGGTAAGAGAATGATTACAGCATTGAGTGCCATTGGACATTAGTAAAGCAAGAAGGATACTTCAAGCTGATGTCCTGCAACTACTGTTGATGGCTTCCTACTGAGTGGATCAGAAGGATTATTGACTGAGTCTGTTAATTGCCTCTTGAACAGCCTTTCGTAATTGCCCTTTTTTGTTAGTTTCTTTTCTAGAAGAGGCTTTAACTTCTCATCATTTTCTCCTTTTCCTTTTTACAGTGAAATAGCAGTATTTTAGTATATAGAAGTGAAAACAAAATATAATGGGCGGAAATGTAGTTTTCAAGCACTCCTGCCCAGGAACTGACCTTAAGAGGCAATTAAGAAATGCTATCTGAAAGTCAATTAACAGGCAAGTTATCAGCAATCACACTGTGCACAACAGGAAGTACTAAAAGTGTAGGACTGTCAACTAAGGAGCTTTTAATTAAAGACACAGGAGCCAGCTTTGCCTACCGACACTGGATAGGCGGCCGTTGCAATTGTGTTGGAAAATAACTACAAATCAGATATGGGGGAAATATGGTCTCCATCACTCCCATATCATATTTGTTATGGTCTATAAATACTTAACAGATGGAGTTAAAAGTTTATGTGGAATGTACACAATTTAGGAGCAAACGGGGACCCCTCTACGGAGACCCAACTTGTCTTTCAGATTGCTTAGCAAAACTGGATTGCAAGGCTATGACATTTAAGAACATTCAGCAAACCCAATGGTCTCAGAGTGTTGTGTTTAGAGAAAAATCTGTTTTTGCTCTCCATGCATATAGCACTTAGAATATAACAAAAGGAAAGCTTCAGTGAAATACTTATCTGATTAACCTGACTTTTAATTGATGGACATATTATCAAAACCTCAATATAGGTTTCTTCTAGAGATATTAGAATCATAGAACTGGAAGGGAGCCTGGAGATCCAGTTCAATCCTCTGCTCGGTGCAGGATACAACAGACTACAGTATCCCTGACAGGTGGACCATTCAGTTTCTCCTCTACTTAAATTCCTCCACAGAAGGGGAGCCACAAGTCCATCACTTCTCAACACACCTATTTATGTTCTCAAAATATTATTATCTAGGAGTGTGCATTGGTATCAAGATTCAACTTGTACCTGTATCTGTAGCTTTGGAAATGCCGATTAGAGTCACTCTGTGACTTTCCAATTCAACTCCTTATTTAGAACAAAATATATCTATAAAAAATGAAAATTTGTTTCCCCCCCTCCCCTATCCACTATAATGGGGAATATAAATATGGCTATAGCTTTTCTTGTCACAGAAGTGGATGAAATTTGGAGGCACAGAAGCCTCAACAGGATTATATCTTCCAATTTTATTTATTAATTATTTTATTTTGATGCATATGCTGCCCTTTCTCCCAAAGGAGCCCAAGTTCAGGGAGTTTGCAGTGAGAATACCTCCAGGGGTGTGTGCAAGGCAGCTTTACAATTTGATTAGAAGAAGAAAGTCTATTTATCTGGCACACTTAGATGCAGTTTGCAGAATGGTTATTGCTTCTGAGGCAGGGAATTTTTAAAAAAGACACTGTGCACACAGCTGTCTGTGTAGAAGAAGAAGAAGAGGAGTTTGGATTTGATATCCCGCTTTATCACTACCCGAAGGAGTCTCAAAGCGGCTAACATTCTCCTTTCCCTTCCTCCCCCACAACAAACACTCTGTGAGGTGAGTGGGGCTGAGAGACTTCAGAGAAGTGTGACTAGCCCAAGGTCACCCAGCAGCTGCATGTGGAGGAGCGGAGAAGCAAACCCGGTTCCCCAGATTACAAATCCACCGCTCTTAACCACTACACCACACTGGCTCATGTCTCACTGGTACGAAATCAGCATAACAGAATCAACAAATTGGGGGGGGGGGATAAATACAAAAGGAAACGCCTATTGGCACAAACAAGAAATATCAAAACTGCTCCTCATAATCACATTCAAATATAAGTGTGTGGGAAACTCTCCTGTCTAATTCAAGTGGAGGAGGGGGAAGTGGATTTACAGCTAAATAATGCTCAAATGTGGACATGCCCTTAGTAAATGAAATCTACAGTTCCTTATTAGAAGGAAAGTCTATTTAGAAAATTTTAATTCCCCCCCCTTTATAAAAACCTAAAAAGCCTTAAAGGGTATGCAAATGTATTCTTTACTTTCATCCCCAGTGTTTAAGAATGGTCCCCACTATCTAATCAACAGTGAGGTGCTTTTCCATATAAGAATCATGCAACACCTGAACTGCCCTGAACTTGCTTACACTGCTAACTGAGCCATCCAAGAACAACACAGTCTAGGGAATGGGTACCAGCTGGAGTTAAATTCTTTTGGGGAAGTCTGCTGGCCTCATTCTCCAGTCATTAATGTCAACGAGTCCAAAATGCCTGCCCTTCTTTCATCAAAATATGCTTTTAAACTAATTTCCCAGTCTTTGATGCAGAACGACATGTGTTTTGACACAGACTGCAAGAGGAGGGATATTGTGTTATGCCCAGGAAGCATCATTTATCACCATCTGTGGAAGATAAATCCAGTGCACACAAAGTTGTAGTAAACATCCTACCTTCGAGTATCCATGTCTGCAATCGCAGGTGACAGCATGAGCAAGACATGCGGCAGGAGTTTCATCACCTTTATTTTCCCAATTCTGCACCACTGTTCAAAGATAGTTTTTAACATTTCTGCATATACATATCAAACAGAGGCTGGAACATTTCTAAAAGGAATGAGAAAGTCCCTCCAACTGATGATCCTCATTTACCTTTCGAGAGAAGTTAAAGCAGTAATGAAGGGATGGGAAACCTGCGGCCCAGCTACAATTCCCATCATCCCTGACCACTGGTCATGCTGGCTGGGGTTGATGAGAGTTGAAATCTGATCACATCTGGGAGAGCCACAGGATCAATGACTATTAAGCAATAATATAAATATTGTACCGTTAGTAAAGGCAAAGGTACCCCTGCCCGTTCGGGCCAGTCTTGCCAGACTCTAGGGTTGTGCGCTCATCTCACTCTAGAGGCCGGGAGCCAGCACTGTCCGCAGACACTTCCGGGTCACGTGGCTAGCGTGACAAGCTGCATCTGGCGAGCCAGCGCAGCACACGGAAACGCCGTTTACCTTCCTGCTAGTAAGCGGTCCCTATTTATCTACTTGCACCCGGAGGTGCTTTCGAACTGCTAGGTTGGCAGGCACTGGGACCAAGCAACAGGAGCGCACCCCGCCGCGGGGATTCGAACCACCGACCTGACGATCGGCAAGTCCTAGGCACTGAGGTTTTACCCACAGCGCCACCCGCGTCCCTTTAGTACTTCCAGGCAAATACTGACTGGGAGTGTGTGCTGGTCATGTACACAGGATTTCCCCCACCTTTTTGGGGGGGCAATATTAACACATTTGTAATATCTGAAACAACTACAGCTTTGGGGGTTGAGGGGGTAAGATAATTGAGAGAGTTGTCATTCGTGGCTGAGACTGGTCATCGGGATCCTTTCAAGCCTGAGTTTGGGACAGAATCAGCTTTAAGAGTCATGGCTTCCCTCAAGGAATGCTGGGAACTGTAGCTTGATGAGAGTCTCCTAACACCTCTCAGCTCCTTTAACAAACTATTTGCCAGGATTCTTTGGTTGAAGCCATGGCTATTAAAAGTGGAATAGGAGTGCTTTAAATGTGTGCTGTAGGTGGGTCCTAACTCCGAGGTTGGTTTACCTCATAGACTTGTGAGGGAAAAAGGAGAAAACTACGCTTGCTACCTTGCATTCCTTTCAATGAGTGGGACAAAAATATGACAGCGGTTGCCTCATTTTTTGGACCTATAATATGGAGGGTCACATTTAGATGACTTATGTATTGTTTATTATTATTGTCATTCTCATTGTCATGTTCATCATCTCATTGCCTTTCACCATGAGGTCACAGGCAAGTAACAACCATTAAAAATACCATATTAAAAATAGTTGAATCAAATTACAGTCAAAAGAATAGGGTAGGTCCTATAATATATCTCATGCCATGCATCAAAGGTCAGGGTAAAGACGTTACTCCTCAGCATATGATAAAAACTATGTGATGGATGTTTCCAGACCCAACTCTAAAGGGAGAGAATTCCCTGGCTTGGGCCCACTGTGGAGAATGCCCTCTCCTGGGCCATCCCCACCTCAACTACTTCTGAGGGTAGTGAAACTACCAAGAGAGACATCTCTGCAGATCTTAACACCTAATAGGGACTGTAGAGAAGGAGGTGGCCTCTCATATATTTGGGACCTTGGTCATTTCATGCTTTTAATATTAATGTAAGCCTCTTAAATTGGATCCAGAAACAAACTGGCAACTGATGTTGCCCTTTTCTTCTTGAGGTTTTGAACTGTCACAAGCTTTGTTTAAGACTGGAATTAGTTCAGAATCTGAACATTTGCCAAACCTTGGGCACTCATCGCAGAACTAATTGCCAGCACATCAAAGTTTATAGACAATCACCAACTCCGTCATAAAAGGCCCCTGGGAACAATGAGCCTAGGTTTGAGTCAGATCCTGTGTTTGGTTTTCAGCATTTACGCCCATTGTTTAGCACAGCTCTTTTGAGATCCAGTAGCAGGACAAAACAGTTCCTTTCATTATTTCCCCTTCTTTCCTCATATCCTCTCACATTCTTCCTTCCTGTTCAGGTTACTCAGACAGACTCTCCTCATGGCTTTCTGCTGAGAAGTTCTAGGGTAGATTCAGATGCAGCCAAATTTGTCAACTCTCAATATCTGAGCCACAGCACTGAGCCTTTCTATCTGGGAGGATGGTGCAGAAAGTGTTTGTTTTAGCCTCTGTCCTCTCAAGCTGATTGGCTAGCTCTTGAAATTCTGGGTTCTCAGGACTGTTTCATTATACCCACCAACATACTGATGGTTTCGGATTAATATGTTTGGGAGGTGTGTGTCACACTGTCTACACAGAATTAAGCCCCATTGAGTTCAATGGGACTTAGTCGATCCCAGATAAATGTGTACATAGGTCTGCGGCCAGGTTAGGTTCATAGGAAATGAAAGAATGATTTATGGCTATGAAAACCTATTTTACATGCTTTTACATGCTCTCATATTGTTTTAGATTGTATTCTTGCTTTGTGTTAATGAATATTGATTCATATTGTACATGGTTGACACTGTTTAAAAGCACAATATTTTAAAATCTGTAAGCAAACAAAGAAACAAACGGATACAATTATCATCAAATATCCACTCCCATAGATCCCTTCCTCCATACTGCAAATAAATGTTTTATACAGAAACTTCCTCCATATGTACAAGAATGTGCAAATTAACTTGCAAACACCATCTAATGCTCAGTGCTTTGCAGATCCCACATATAACCCTGCAGCAACATGGCCATATAGATCAACAGCATTTATTCGTGGAAATACCCACATACCACAACATTTCATGAAAAAACATATCAAAGCAGTTTACAACAAATACACACAAACACAAACTCACATAGTTGATCGGCGATCTTTGATTCTAACTATTAAAGAAGATGTTTTCTTAATTGCGTGCATAAGCCTGGCAGCACAGAAAAATTTCCAGGAACTGTTTAAAGGTTAGAATAGAAGGCGCCTGCTGAATCTCTATGGGAAGAACATTCCACAGGACTGGGCCAATGAGACAAAAAGTTCAGTTTTGTGTTGACGTCGAGTTAGTGTCACCAACACAGGGGACGACCAATGAGTTATAGTACTACTTGAGCCAAACATCTGATGACTGGAATACTTGGAACATCTTCTAACTTAATATGGCTATTTTGTTTTTAATTTAGTTATAGAAAAACATTTCTATGCTGCCTTTCAGACCTCAAAATGGCCCACCAAGACAGTGTACAATGATAAATTAGCCAAGGGGTGGGCAGCCTTTTGTCTTTAAGGGACACATTCCCATGAGGGTGATCTGTCTGGAGGCAGCATGCCAGCAATAGGCAAAGCCAGAGCTGTTGAGGTGGAGCCAGAGACAAAAAAAGTGTTATGCATTAAATGAATCCAAAATAAGAACCACACTGCTTCCATTTTCACCATGGCTACCTAAGATTAAAATTAAAAATCATAGGCATGTGTACACAGAAGTAAACCCCACTGGGTTTGATGGGGCTACTCACATTAAGAATATAGAGGATTTCCCTTTCTTCCATCAGTGGAACAAGTTAATATAGTTAGTGTAGAGGAAAGCAAGTAAAAGCAATCCCTATCTAAACACACATGTGTATAACTGAAGATTGAGGGAGATTCCCCATGCCGTACAGCCAGGAAAGTATGTTTCTAAATGAATTATCGTGGAATAAAAAGACTGTCGATTGTCCTGAAATGACATGAACTGTACTTTTAAAAACCAGGAGAAGTAAAACAGAAGCCCACAGGGAGGGAGGAACGCTGATGGGATGGAAGGATGGGGGCAGCTTCAGGAGGCATTAGAAAATGGAGGTCAGGGCCAAAGGTTGTCCACCGACGAAATTTGGCTAATTTACCACAGCACATTCAGTGTTTAAAGTTAATCATGCTCAATGCATGTTCCCTTAATAATGCCACTACAACAGTACATGTCAGCTACTTAAATGAAGCCAGGTATGGTACAAGATGGAGGAAGGAAAAATCAAGTGATATCTTATCTCCCTCTTATGGCTGGTTGCAGTACAGCTGCTCATGACTACAGCTATTCTTTAGGCTTCACAATCAGACATGGATTTCACCAGAGTAGCAGTTTTTGTTTTAGAAAGGGGGAAATGACAAGATGGATTATCACAGTGAGGAGAAGGTCCCTCCCACAAGCAAAGCTTGAAGTATCCATCAGTAAGGAAGAAATCACGTAACAGCTGCCTCTGTACTCAAACATAAAAACATGCTATTATCTCACTGAAATAATAGCCCTACCAAGATGTTATGTTCACACAGGAGTCCCAATGCATGAGTGCAGAATGGGGCTTCAGCAGGTGGCCGCACTGACATTGCACATTGTGCAGACTAACCCTGCAGTGGAGAAGGCCGCGTATGCAGGCCCCATCATGTGCATCAACTAACCCATCACTTAGCAGCCTTCATGTATACAGCTGTTCACATGTGAAGGCACCCTTCATGCAGCAGTTCACACTGCACTTTAAGACACTGGGGTGATGTTGGTCGCCACTTGGCACAGCTCCCCATTCATGCATTAGCCTGATTTCTGAACAGGGATAGCACCTCTTGCATATGGAAAAGGAAGAGGAACAATGGTCCCATAGAGAATAGAGCCAGAGAATGGTAGAGCGGGAAGGGGCCGTTGACAGTGATCTACTTCAATTAATTATTATTATTATTATAAAATTTTATTTGTACCCTGCCCTATCAGTAGTCCTATCAAAATGAGAATCTCTGGAACAGTGTGGTGGAGGGAGGAGATACTTGCCCTGATGGAACAATCATCTTAGCACAATGCTGAATTCCTCCCATTATATTTATTAAAGCAGATCCTGTGTTTTACAGCAACCAAAGAGACCCCCAACCCCCTTGCTCAGTCTAAATGAATGGCCTACATATTACTCCAACTACTATATAAACTGCCTGATACTATTTGCAGTCAACCATCGTGTACGGATACTTTGAGTACACCTTCAAATGTGTCCTTCCTTCCTATGCCTGCATTTTTTTAAAAGACCCTTCAGCTTCCCCCACCCATGACAACCTTGTTCTAGATTTTTAAATATTTACTCTGGCCACTTCTTCAAGTTGCCCACTGCATTCAGATACCCACAACCAACGGCATGGAGCAGCACCATTGCAGTAGACAACCCCAAATACCCTCCAGGGAAAAGGTAATCTTGGTTTAATTGAAGCTAGGTTGGGGGGGGGGGAGGGGAGTCCTAGGAGATGAGCATCGTAAAAAAATACCAGTTTCTGTGCATCATAAAAAGTACCAGCTTCTGTATCTACAACTCAGCAACAAAGCCACAGAAATGTGGGTCCGATGCTTGGCTTCCAGCTGACTCATTTCTGAAGGCTGTGCTTTTGCCAAGAGAGCCAGCTGGAGAAAGTTGATTAGCATAACCCACTAGCTATCACTGTGACATCCTTGACCAAAGTGTGACCCACTGTGGGGTGTCAGAATGTGCATCCCAGCAGCTGAGCCGGTGTTGCCGCTGAGTCAGCACATGCTCTCCTTTTAATAAGGACAAAAGATACCAGCTCCTTTCTATTCTTAGCCCTCTGCACCAGTGTTAATTCCAGTCAAATGTACAATAACCTGCTCTGTTACAGGGTCATTCTTACCCTGAAACAATTGCCTGAGGTAGCAGATTCCAGATAAGGTGCCGTTTCCCTGCTTCTAACTCATGTATTGTGCATGAGAAAACATAAGAGGAGAGGATAGTCATTTTGACTTTTTGCTTTAGCTATGGAAATGCCTCTTCCACCTACTTCTCCTCCTCTCCCCACTGATTATTGTTTTGCTGCCCCATTAATGAGGACAGCATTTGTGGCCTTCAGGCCTCGCTCTCCCTTAGGTAGGCCTTGCAGGTAAGGTGAACAGAGCACTGCTGCTCTTTTGTCACAGCAGCTAGAAATTGTATTTTAAACTTTTTTTAAACCCAATTTTAAAATAACTTCAACCAGAATTTCTACAAGCTATGGGCAAAAGCAGTGGTAAAGTGAGCTGCTCTTATGAGTCAGCATGCTGAGAATTGCCTCACTCTGAGGCAGCTGCAGTAGTTGGTTGGTGGCAAGCAAGCAAGGGGGGCATTAGGAGTGCCAATCTACCTTTCTTCAGGTACTGCCACTTGATGTAATTGTCTCCATGTGGCCTTCAGGAAGGTTCTCCAAATCCTTGCAGTACAGAGGAGGGGAATAAATTTTTGTGTGAGAAACAACCCAAGAACTCTGAAACCCACCTATCCAAATAGTTAAATACCTGAATGTTTGGGGTAGTCTGTCACCCACTTGGACCAGAGAATATCTCCACAGCCTGAGGAATAGGGCATCTCTCAGGCTATTTATCCCCCAAAAGAAAAATATTAAAGCCTGCAAATGGGAGGTACCAAGAGAACGTCAATGAACTTCATAAGCATTATAAATTTTGCATTCCTGTAGCTTCAAATACACATTAGCATCATTTGTCACACTTAAAATATAAAGGGAAGGACAAAAGATTTCCTTAAAGTATGAATGAGAAAGAAGTAAAAAAAAAGGCATCCTTCAAGGAGGTTAAATTTTCCATTTGATGTACTGAGAGATTTTTTTAGCAAGATCGATGACCTTGCAATCAGCCAATCTGTGAATATAGATGGAACCCACTGAAAGAATTATGCTGGTTTTTGGAAATGCAATTCCAATCACTGGCTGAGCTTCTGCCAACAAATAAATAAATAAATAAATCCACAGCTGGTCTGCTGTGACTCGGCAGGTTAATACATACGGCCAGGATAGGAGAAAGCTGAGAAGGCAGAAAATCCTTTAAGCCCTTTCACATTATGAATGTATCCGATGAAAAAATGCAGCAACTTCCTGAGGCCTATTAGCGTGCTCTTCCAAGTGAGCACATTCAAGGTATTAAATGACCGCTCAAAGAAACAGGAACCATTTCAATTAGAACCTAAGAAATATTCTAGGAAGAAAAAGGCCTATTTGATCCTGTGAGCCACAACCCATAAATATTATCTGTCTGCTCCTCAGGCACCTTTTCCAAGGAAAGCAACCAATTACCTCTTAAATTACACCTTTGATAAGACTCGTTCATCTTTGCAGACAAGCCGCAGTGCTCACATGGCTTGTCCCATTTAATTTAGGCCAATGCTAAAAGCCAGACAGACAAGATAAATGGCCGATTCCCCAGCTGCCCAGGAAATACCGGTGGAGGGGAGGGGGAACAGAAACCCTTCCCACTCCTGAGCTGCGCTGAAAAGAGAAAAACCCAAGAGAACATCAGAGACGCATGTAAAACTGCCAACTCAATGACCTTCTCTGTGTGATGGCTCCACTTACTTTGTATACATGGCTCTTGCTCCAGAAATATCATGTAAACTGTCATTCTAAGCACACTTACAAGTCCAACTGAAAAAAATAATCAATGAGACTTACTTCCATGTGAGTATGCTTAATTTACGGAGCTAGAATTCACTTGGCATGACAGCCAGCTAAGAGTACCATGACAAATACAGGTTCAGTGCAGCGGTATTTTGTGAAGTGCAGTTAATGTTAAGCATTTAAAGAACACTGCGGTGCATGGAGTGTTAGGGGAGGGGTAGTACCTCTGGTGGGAGACACATCACGTTCCTTCTGGGGTAGTCTGTACACCTTTGGTCCCAAACTGCACTTAAGCTTTCACCTCAGGTTCCTAGAAGCTATCAGTATGCAATAGCAGCCACACCTTGAGAATGGCTTCAACTGGCCAGCCAAACCAGGAGAGGGTAGCCAATGGGTCTCAAACCCTTGGTGAGTTAGGGACTTCCCCTGCATGAGAAGACAGGCTCTGGTGGATGAAACCAAGAGTGGATCCAACGGTCAAGAAGGCCATTTCTGCACATGCTGTAGAGGGAAGTGATGGGTGGATGGGGCTTGTCAACTGGGAAAGTAGCCCACCTAGAAGGAAAACTCTGATCCTAAACCTCCTCTGCCTTGTGGGATATCTTCAGGACAAAAAAAGAGGAAAAGCTAAGGAGTAAACCCTACACAAATCCAGAGTGGAGTCCCTAAGATGCTTGGATGGTGTCTTGCATACCTCTTTCTGGCAAGCCAAGCTCCTGCCAAATGTATTGCTCTGGTTTCCTTTGGACCACATCAGGGAGGCTGAGAGAGGGCTCTTGATGTCTGGGCAGCCCAGGACCTCCATACACATTGCCCAGGCTTGTGCCCTGGGAGGGTCACTTCAGTGCTGCTAATACAGCAGTTTGACTTCACTCCCGGAGGTGCACTCCACTGTCTTTCGAGACAGACAGATGCCAACAACAAAGCACATTAAACCAAAGAGTCCTTGAAAGCTTTCTATCCAGATTTCCAAGAAGTCACTAAGAATATGAAAGGATGCTCCTATCAGAAGGCCTGGGGTCATGGAGGATGCCTTTAAGGTTACAAGATTCACAACCTTGGAAATCTGGGGGGGGGGGGGACTTCAAGGATAACAACAACAACAACAACAACAACAACAACAACAACAACAACAATAATCTATCACCTCCAAGTATTTCATGTTACCCAAGAAGACATCTAGTTTAAAACCCAAGCTTCATCCATTTTGTGTCTCCTTTGTCCCTGGGTATCACAAAACACACCTAAGCACTTTGCTCGCAGGAATGCTGGAAAAAGTTACAATCATGTCACCCACGAGACCTCCTAAATGTATCTGCTCTTGTCAATAGATCAACTTGTATCAGGGGTTCCCAATCTTTTTGACCCAATATTTGGAATTTTGAAAAAAGCGTTGAGGGCATAGCCACAAAATGGCTGCCATGGCAGCTGTGGGGGTTCAGCCTTTATACAGAAAGACGAATTCAAATTCTGTAAACTTACCTACCTGGGCCCTAAATCTTCAGAGGCTCTTCTCAGTGCCCTCCATTGAGGTATGACTGGTGGCTACAAGAGAAAGGGCATTTTTGGTGAGGGTGCCCCAATTATGAAATGTCGTCCACAGAGAAGCTCCCTTGGTTTTTTGGTATGACGTGCAACCTTTTTATTTCCCCAGGTACTTTAAGATCTCCAGTACTTAGCTGTGCTGTGTAAGTTTGCTGGTGGTGGTTTAATTTATGTATTCAGTTTTTTAGCACGGGTGATTTTATTAATTTTAGGGACTCTTGTTTGTTTTTGTGGTTTTTAAATTATTGTTAACCACTCAGAGGACATTAGCTGGGTGGTATACAAATGACACAGATAAATAAAACCGGCTGCTCTAAATGTCCTTCACTGTTGCCCTAGACAATCCACTTGGATGGCTGTAAAACAGGCTTTCACTGTCAATGTTAAATATTTATATGTTAAAATATTAAATTGCATCATGTTTTTCATTGTGGAATAATTAGGGATGTTTTCCAAGCAGACAGAAGAAAACCAGCAACTTTTCCAAGATGCTTCAGTGGGGGCTAAAGGCCAGACAGAGTGGGCCCATGACTTTTTGGCTTTGCACTGCATTCTTAAGCACATTTGCTTTTCCAATAAATCAAATTCAATGGTACTTTCAATTAAATGCAGTTAGGACTGCAGCCTTAGCATGCACACTGATTTGGTAGCAAGCCCCAGCACCTAAAATGGCTTATTTCTAAACATGTGTAGGACTAGGATTACTTTCTTAAACTGTTAGGCAGGTATACTCACCCAGGATGATTCTTTCGAATGGTAACATGTCAGAAGAATTGGGAGTCTGCCTTCCTCTCTTCTCCTTGGCTGGTCTACTCTTTCAAATCCCTCAGAAACCATGAAAATGGGTCTCCTTTTCTTCTACCCAGCATCACTTGGGCCTACCACTTCTAGTCATTTCACCTCTAGGATGCCCTCACCATCACTTACCATCTCAAATATAACAGGACAGGGTAGAAGGATGGAAAATGTGGCATCAACTGAACAGAATAAACTCCTCTAGATGGTCTAGGCCAAGGGCAATTTGGGTAAGAATGACTCTTAACAAAGATAGGTAGCTGAGACTCAACTCAAAAGACAGCATGACTGTGCCTAGTAGAAGATACCATATTGGTGCAGTTTAGCTTAGCTGCTAATAATGTGTGTCCAGGTTTCCTGGAAATGTGCTCTCAAGTGTTTAAAAGAAGTATGCATGTCCTTCCAAATTTAACTCCCCTTAATTAACACGGGTGAGCATGCAGAAATGCTCACTGTGTGAAGTGTGATGCTGCTTTTAGGGACAGACTTCAGCCAACAGCTAGATTTACAACGCTATTAAACCCTTCACCACCATCTACACAAGGGCCTTGGAATACATAAGTTCTAACTTATTCCTCCTCTATGCCGTAGAAATCCAGGGTCTGATAAAAGATCATGCACAACCACCTCCCCAATTCTGCTCTTTTGACTAGCAACATGGAATAAAGATTAAGGAAACCTGATCTGCATTCATTAGTTAAATGCAAGACAGCTTCTTTGGTGATTTCACATCAACACTGGGTGCCTTTATTTGCTTAGTTCCTCAGAGGCAATGCAAGGTGGTGTCAGAATTTTTAGATGATTGCATTTTGCCCCTTAAGAGCCAAAGTAAATAACCAATGATTCATAGAACATCTCCACATAAAGCTGGAAAAAGACACCTGTCTGAAACCCTGGAGAGCCACTGTAAAGTCAGTGTAGACCAGGACTAAGGAACATATGGTCCTCTGGATGTTGGAACTAGAACTCTCATCATCTCTGCCCACTGCCCATACCAGCAGGCACTGATGGAAGCTGGAGGACGGCCACATGTTCCCCATGCCTAGCACAGGCAATTCCAAGCTAGACAAGCTAGTGCACTGACTCAGGACAAGGCAACTTGCAATGTTCTTATGACCTTCCTCCAAATCTTCTCCCTCCTCTTAAGCCATGTATAGCCTTTCAACAGCATTGCTTCCTGCGTATGCCGGGATGGACAAAAGGAAGTCCCAAATGTGAAGCCAAGGTGTCATCAGGCTCCTGTGAAAGCCGAGCATTTGCACTCCATCTCTTTGCAAGCATTTCCCATACCACCCTAGTGAGGGATACCAAGAAAGCAAAAAATGGCACAGGAAACTGCCTACTGTCAGGAGCTACTCTGCTAGGATAGTCCAAGTCTCTGCAGGATTCCCACAAGGTGAAGAACTTTGCTATGAAAGGACAAGGAGGGGAAACAAGATTGAATAATGGTCATATATGGGCAGGGCAGGGGGGAAATAGGCTTGGGAGGAGAAGCCAGGTCCATGGACTGGATATTATATTCAGCCACTGGGGCCAGGCTGAACAGGTCAGTGAAAGGGATTGACAAATTAGTGGGACACTTTGTAACCTGCCAAAGAATTGGCTAAGGGCAACCAGTACTTTCACATGGCTCACGTGAGTCAAGAAGTACTCCTTTCTCCCCAGTTTTCAATTCAAGGTTGCTGAAGCAGAGATTTGAGGCTGGCATAAAGAAAGCGTGGATATGAAAGGATGAAGTGGATGAATATCTTTTACAAATCTAGTGCAGGTGCATTATGCTTCTGATACAGCAACTTGTACTTTTATAAACCAACCCCCACCCCCATTTCTAAAAATACCCTACCTTTGAAATGAAATCCAAATCAAAAACAGATGTATACATTTCTATTCTAACTGAATCCAAAGCCTCCTACCAAAATTAGAATATCACTTTACAAATACTTACTCTAATATAACATTGTCAAAAACAGACCTAGAACCCTGAGACCCACCAAACAGAACCTGGTATAAAAGGCACAAACTCAGAATTAAAGAATTCCAAGCCCAGGAGTGCCAGAACTGAGCAGGGCTCACAGTCCTTCCACACACAAAGCTACTCCTGGTCAGACCAAGCTTTCATACTTTCATTTCAGCAATATAATTTGGGCAGGGGGTCATTTTGTTACTTCTATTGTTAAAGCAAATGAGAATTCCTCCTATTCTACCTTTTGCCACTATTTATTGGATTTATATTTCAGTAATTAAATTTATCTCTCACTGTCCTCCCAAAGCAGCCCAGGACAGCAAATACACAAGCCACAAAACAATTAAAACATTTAAAAAACAATTTCAACACATGCAGATTGGGAAAGCCCTTTACTTAAAAGAGGAAGGTCTTCAGTAGGTGCTGGGGGAAAACAATAGAAAAGGCACCTGTCTAATATTTAACAGGAGGAAATTCTAAAGGGTAAGTCCAATCCCAATCTTGGACCTTCTGGTAAGACAGTATCTGCAGGATGCCCTCACCTGAGGAGCACAGTGATCGGCTGGATATATAAGGGAATGAGATGATCCTTCATGTCATCATTTGGCACTCGGTGCACAAATTTTAGGTGCGTGGGCAATGACATATCTCGACAGAAACTCTGTTGGTGTCAACTGTTTTCTAGGCAGATACTTAAGAGTTTCTGTTACAACTGAAAAGCAGTAGCCATCTCCCCAAGCTGCTGATTATTATTATTATTACTATTATTATTATTATTTTGCTTTATTACCTGTTCTTCACCCTAAGATCCCAGGGCGAGTTACATTAATTAACATTCAAAACAGTTCAGAACACAATAAATAAATACACTGTACAAAAAAAATTGCTTGAAGCGTAACACATTCCTTCGTATCCGTGTCAGGAAGTTTCACCTACTAAACATCTGACCCTTACATTTAATATTTCCAAAGTTTGCAGCCTCTTAAAATGTTTTAAAAAACCCCCACCCTTAAATAACATCTCTGTGCGTTCACTTGCTTCCTTACAGAGCAATTCTAAACCCTGAGACCTGGGCTGCTGGAAGCATCCCTCCACTGGGCTCTGCCAGCAGGCCTCCCCATCCCCCACTGCAGAGGCCACTGCTGTGCCCCCTGAAAAATGCAGGCAGCTGAGGTAGCAAGTGTAGGTCCTTGACTTAAATCATTATAAGGGCAGGGGTGGAACAGTCAGCCAAGGAGCCAAAGCTGCTCCATCTCCCTTGAGAGGGGGCCCAAATGGGGTCTCTCATTTCAACCTTGGAGCTGGTGCAGCAAAAATCACTAACAAAATTGCCCACTTTGGCTGGTACAAGTGGAAGAGCTTCAGATGTGGTTGCTGATCCACTGCTCAGCTCTGCCTAACTGCTCCCCAGATAGGGTTTGGATTGTTCTGAGAATATTAGAAATATTCATGTGCGGCTTTCTATAGAGAGCACTATGTTCTAGTCACTGTGAAGGGACTGCTATAAGGAAACACAATGTGATGATAATAGTAATTCAAATGTCAAGAAGTTTATTTTTTTTAAAAAGCTTTGCAACCTGACAGACTCTGAAGAAATTCAAGGTGGACAATTATCTTTCAGTGGAGACCCCTGTGTTGGCACATCACCTCCTGGGTATGAGAAGAATTGTATCGAAAGAAAATCTCTCACACAACTAGGCTTTTCTAGTATTTTATTATAAAAAAAATTCTGGATATTTGCTAGTCAAATACTTGAGCACAAATGCCTACTTGAGAGCTTATGCAACCCTCTAAGCAGCTTCTAACAGGCACCTGAAGAATATCACAGGCAAGAGAACATTCCCTCGGTTGAAAGGCTCACAAAAGAAGTCTCTTGTCCACACTCATTTTGACACACTTTCTTGATCAGCCTGGCCAAAGAGCCGAGCTGCAAGGCATGGTGCATACCACTTCCAGAAATTTGACAGAGGCTTGATTGCTTGCCCCTAGATATACCCAGAAAGCCAACAATGGACCATTTATACAGTTGTGTCAGAGGTAGGAGGGCACTGTGAGTTATTACTGAATTTAAGTAAGCATCTAGCACTCTGTGATCCTTTGCTGGTAAATGATCAGCTTCATGCTCGTACATTGAACGCTCCCTTGTCCAAACCCCTCTAGAAAGGTTTCCAACAGACTGCAGCTCTCAGGAAACCAAGCATACCCCAAACCCCCTTATTCCTATTGCTACATCCCAACCACCGTCAATTTCACTAATATCACACCAGAACCATTTTTCACCCTACTGCTTCCACAAAGGTGGCAACAATCCCCCAAATACAGAATTAGTGAAGACACATGCTACTTCTGCCCATAGCAATACATTTTCAACATTTAACCAATCCCTCTGCACTATGTAGAAACCACATGTGACTTTTGCCAAAAACCTCCCTTCAGCCACGGTTGATATTAGTTAACAAACTGTATTCCTGCAGATATGTATGTAGCCCACTGCCAGATTCAGACTGGGTTCTGCAACTGCAGCTGCTTTAACGTCAGAAATGCACTGCAAAAGGAAGAGACAAAAATTAGTGCTTAATGTAAAGTTAAAAGACAGTTGCTGGTTAATTATAAAGTTACTTGCACCAATTTTGAGACTGTTACCTTTTTGGGATTTAAAGTTTTAGTTGGGAGTTTCATGTGAGCATACAAAAATTGAAGCCACCAAATACCACAAAGTTGCATGATTTAAGTTTAGTAGTGGAAAAATAAAAAGGGCCTTGAATCCACCTTAAACCTGGTTGCACAGTTTGTCTTCAGCTTGATCCTGTACACCAGCATGCAGTGGCAATAAGACATAATTTCAGCACTGGCACAAGGACAGAGAACTATAGTCTCTCCAAAGCTAGAAACTATGGTTATCAGTGAGGGGCAGGATCCCATCCCCAACACTGTGGCAAGTAATGAGAGGCTTGAAAACAGCAAAGATGGCAGCTTCAGAGTGCCTCCAATGCACAGTGCGATGTCAGGGAGAATCTCTACCCTTCTTTTGAGCCCAGAAGAGGGTCAGACCTTGCACTGGACTTTGGAGGCACATAAAGCATGATGTCAGAGACCAACCCTTTCCCTTCTCTCTCCACTTCTGGGCCTCTGCACACCAGACCATCTCCTCTGCATTGAAGAGTGCCAGGCCCTGTGCCTGTCCACCTTTCTACTCACAGTCAACCCATCTACAGAAGGGCAAGTCAGATCTGATGAAGAGAGGACATCTGCTAGTAGCCTTCTATTAACAGGAGATGGCAAACTGCCCGATCCATTTCTTCCATGGCCATTTGGCTTCTGCTGAGGGCATGCACGCTATAATAGCCTTCTGCAACCTGGTGCCCTCCAGAAGTTGATCTACAGCAACTCCAGTCGTCCCTGATTACTGGCTAGGGCTGATGGGAATTATAGCCCAAAACATCTGGACAGCACCAGGCTGTGGGAGGCAGACCTAGAGGATAAGATGGCACAACCTCAGAACGCCTATGTGACCAGGAGAGGATACAAAGCAATAAAAATTATGATCCCCAGCAGAATCCATCACTTCTTATTTTATTTTATAAAATTTATGTACTGCTTGACCCTCAAAGCTGTTTACTTCTTGATGCAGAATGTTGAGTTTTGTAGTGCCAAGTATGGCATCTTGGGATAGAAGAACGCCACTAGCAATTTTTATTATTCAGACAGCTTGCCTGGCCTGTAGCTTTACATCCATAAGATTGCACTTTAAATCAACCAAAGCAGGATGCCTCTGCAAATAAACTGAAGTAGCTCTCCTCATTTTCCAAGAACTGCTTGGTCCACAGAATTAATGGACTCTCATTAGAGCCAGCCTCTGCTCTCAGATCTTCCAGATAGCATATTCCTTATGCATATCTTTTACTCTTTTGTGCCCAAGCAGTTCCTCAGTAATCCAAGTAGGTCCATAGCCTATTTGAAGGTGCATTGCTGCTAAAAAGAAAAGAAGCCAAGAAGAATAAAGTGAAGTTTCTAATCATATTCCGTTAAGGAGGCTTGTGATCTTGAAAGATCACAGCTTGTTCTTTCCTCTCGCAGCAATTCTGGCACTAGCCCAGCATGTTCTGGCCTTTTAGCTAGTGCCATTGACATTCTTCACATGAGTGATGACACAAAAGGGCTGCAAGTGCATGCAAAGGGGGAAGGGAGAGAAGCGGCAATACCAGACCTTACGAGGCATCTTGAGATGGAGGGGAAGGATCCTGACACTCCGGCTCCGGGGGAGGAGCTGGCACCGAGTCCTCTTTCTTCTGCGCAGCCAGGAAATCATGAATTGCCTTCTCTATCTGCGGCCTGAAGATGTGGTTTAGTTTTGGATCCACCACCTGAGAAATAATTCTGTCCACTCCAGCTTCCAGCATCCCCGACCTGGGGCAGAGACAAAGGAGTCATTCAGCTCCTCCAGAAAGCTTCCCTTCTTCCCCCCACTGGAGCCCTCCACAGCCGTCATGTCAGCTGCAATTAGCATTAACATGGTGTGAACTATGGCTCTTTTGGTAGCTCCTGTATCACTAGACAGGCATTCTACCCGGTGAAAAGAAAACCAAGAGGTTTTGAACCAGCTGCCTTTGAGGGCCCCAGCAGAACCTGCAGCAGACATCTGCTCACCCAACTGCTTTAAAAAAATGTATGCTGGGTGGGAGCCACTGCAGGGTGTCCATGGCACACAAAGCAGCAAATAAAACCTGACTTGGCATCAACAAGAGGAAAAAACATCACACTGGAGGAGATAGGCGGGATATGAGGGGAGGTGATCTTTTTGGCTAGTGCACTTATGATGAAAAAGCAGAAAGGCAGCCTTCACCCCAGGACCTGCCACGATCAGCTGCTCCCCACATCTGCCCGTCTAGACACACCGGCACTTTTTACAAGACAAACAAAAATAAACACAAGCAACACAAGACAAAGAGCTTTTCTGGGAACAGTGTCAGAAACCAAAAAGCGACTTATTACTTCAAGGCTGTGCTGGATAAAAAGAGCAGGGCATGGGCTGTCTGGTGGGGTTAAGTCATGTCTGCAACAGGCCAGGGGAGGCAAACACAGAGACACTGCACAGCCGTTGGGAAGCAGCTGCCTAGGTAGAAAAAACACACCCAAACAGCCAATATTGTTTTGAGTCTACGTGGGCACTTAAGAAGATCTGAAGTCTCTGACACTTGGTCTCCATGAAGGGCATGCCTGGCCTGGCACAAATTCCGGGGTCAGATTGTTCCAATGCTCTTCCAGCTCCTGCAGCTTGTGCACTGTGCCACGTACTAAAAATGGCAGCTACGTGTAATGCAGGTTGGTGCTGCTGTGCTGCCAGCCTGGTAGGCAGGCCCTCTACAGCTGCAGCAATACTCTCATTGCAGGGCCCCCTGGGTACTTAAGAGTAGCAGATGAAGACACAAGAAGCTTCCAGGCTGGCTGCTGGAAAAGCATTCATGCCAATATAGTCATGCAAAACTTGCAGAGGTTATACAACACCAGTTTATTGAACGTTCATGTTTGTGCGGAGATTATATGGCACTGCCAGCTAGGGGTTGTTGTCCCACAATTTCTAGCCTAATTTCCAACCACTTTTCTTACGGACTTTTGCAGTGAGGAAAGTGATGTGCTAACTGCACTAGAAATGGGGTAACAACCAAATTTGTACATTTAAACAGGCTGTCTGGAAGTGTCTGCATTTGTGCATCCCCAGAATTAATGAAGGCAAACAAAAGAGAACTCAGTTGGTGGTGTACACAACATGTTTCGAAACCATACAAAAACTGAGCAAGGAAGTCAACCAGGACATGACAAGCTTAGCATGTCTCCCCACCATTGACTGCTTGCAGCAAAACAATCTGTTGCAGAATCGATGGAGCACAATGCATAAGCAACTTCTGCTCCATGGCTGAACCACTTCAGAGGCACATGAATTTGACAACAAGATGGCCTGGGGAAAGCTCTCATAGTAACCACTGTCTCAAGGCTCATCCACACCTGCTACCCTGCTGCTTTGCCCTGGGGAAATCCATTGTTTACTGCTGAACTGGAGCAAACGTCAATTGTGTTTTCTCCATAATGACATTTGCTCCAATTTAGTGATAAGAGAAGGTTTTCCGGGGGCGGGGGGGGGGGGGGGAGAGCAAAAACACTTGGACCTGTGGATGAGTCCTCACTGTCTTACTTCACAATTGAAAATTATGGAACTAGAGGTTTTAACCTGAACATGCCTCCATCAAGGCAGATGGCTTATAAATGCAACTCAGGATGTTTCAACAATAACTTACCATGAGCTTATCATACAAGAGAAATACCTAGCATGTAAGCTGTGCTTTATGTTGATGGAGTCATACAGCCATTGAGACAGACTTATGTACGACCCTATAGGTTCACTGTCTGCAACTATGGACAACACTCACAGCTTAATGCCTACACTCAATGCCCAGATGTCAGGTATTTTAGCAATATTGTTTTGTGAATGGTCCCTGTCATTTTTGCATTTAAGCTTCATCATAATTATTACAGCCCATGTTCATTTACTTCTGACTGTACACCCCAATGAAGGCTTCTCCAGTATTCATGCCAAGACCACCTCTAGATTTCATGGTTTTCATGGCAGCCTTGGGGCTGCCTCAATTTAACATCAATCAATACATGTAGCAGGGCACACTCTCAACTTAAGTCTTTGGTGGTGATGATGAAATGGATGGTTTGAAAACACAGGAAGGGTTGTCCAAGCGATCGCATTGTCATGGTCAAACCACTTCCTGGTGAAGTTTCGTATGATATTGCCAAATGTATATAACACCCAGCTTTCTCTTTTTCATCCAATGGAGGTAATGAACCATTGCTTGAACACTACCACAGATTGTATGTGGGCAAAAAACCCTGAAGTCTGTAGTCTAGGAGTGTGCTGGCTGCATTCTTTTTGAAGAAGCAGCAGATGTGGCCACACGCAGGCTGGATTTTTGCAGCATATTTCATCTGAGGTGGTCCTTTAAAATTGTTTGGAAGCTTTAGCAAGTACAAAAGGTAGTAACCAGGTTACTGGAAGACACCGGCTTATGATCTCTTTCCAGGAACAATTTAAGGTGCTGGTGATTACCAATAAATTCCTAAATAATTTGAGGCGAGGCAATTCAAAGGACCATCTTCCACCAGAGTCTGTCTGCTGTTTTGACCCGGAAAGCTGCCTGTGTGCAAACGCCAACTCCCTTGGCCTGAAAAGCGAGATGAGCGCCACACCCCATAGTTGCCTTTGACTGGACCTTGACTGTCCAGGAGTCCTTTACCTTATTTCACCAGGCATTGGGGATCATTTTAACTTTGAATTCTGCTGATTTTCAGTACTGCTTTAGTTTTTAACTTAGTTCTTTTTAATTTTATTGTGCTATTACTGTGATTTATATCTGTATTAGTTTTTAACTTATTTTGTACGCCACCATGCAGCCTCTTGTAGCCAAAAGGCAAGCTACAAGTCTTCTAAATAACTAATCTGCCATAATACAGATTAATAAATTAAGGCTGCAACCCTATGCACACATATATGGAAAAAAGCATCTCTGCATACAATGGGACTGACTTCCAAGCAACTTCATGGAAGTACTCCGTAAAGCTTGCAAGTCACCTCCCGCTCTCATTCTAAGCACATTTTAAGAACCATTTCTTGAATCCTATCACTATCAGTCAGGAACACAGCAGCTTATTATATAAAATTAAAATTATGTACATTGAACATACAGATAACCCAGCCTGGCCTTCAACAAAATTAGGGAAGAATGTGTTTGCAAAGAACACGTTGTGTTTAGTGAACTGGATTAGTTACACTACAGCAATAGTTCAAGGAGCAAAACACTACTTCACTCTGTTGGACAGCACCCCAACCCCAGTGACATTAAGCTCATCATGCTATTGTATCTCATGCTGGAAGTTGGTAAAAGCAAACAGAACTAAGACTGCATGTTCATCAGATGCTCTTTCCCTCTTAAAGCTGTGGATGCCTGCAGATCTCATTAGACAGCCACAAGTGACACTCCTCTAGAAACATGGAGTTGATTAGCAATGAAATTTTAAGTAATTTCAACGGATGAAGAGCCACAATCTACCAGGAGTGTTTCTTAGACAATCCCATCAAAATTTAGGGGTCTTGTGCAAATGTAGGTTACCTTCATGAGTTAAAAAACAATTCATTATTGTCACTTATATTTTAGCAGCTTTTACTTACTGAATAACGCTCTGCCTCAAGCCATTCCGCAACTGGTTTTTGTTCATTGCTGGGTTCCATTCCTGCTTATCCAGGTGGGTAGACACAAAGTTGTCCACTTTCTGTCTCAAATTCTGGTAGGCTGGCTAAACAAAATAGCTCAATTAATATAATCCTGAAGTGTTTATTTCAAAATCCACACAGACCACTGACACCACACTGAAACACACTTGTTTACCCTACAATTAAATTTCAACAGGATTGGCATCATTTGCCTTTAGCAAGTTTGTTTTTACCTATGAAAAACCAAATTATGCATGTAGCCGTGAAAAATTACATGAGAACACATACCTTAGAATAAGTATACTACAGCTGGAGTTGAAGAAGATTCCAACACCTCCTGAGTTGGTCCATTCAACTGTTAAACAGTTCTTACCGATAGAAAGTCCTTCCTAATGTTTAGTTGGAATATCCTAGACTGATTTTTCCATAATCAACTAGCTCTGTCATTCAAATCCTGGAATAAAACTCCAGCTAGACTCCAACCAGTGTCTGCGAGGCCATGGTAAAATTCAGTTGTTGCGGGTTACACACCTAAATACCCTGTTCAATGAGATTCAGCCAATATCTATGTACCTGCATCCCCCAGAAAATCTTGATGGATTACAGGACCAACATACCCTCCTCCTACTCCTTTATAAGGCTTAGACAGACTACCATTTATCCCTATTTACATGTAGGCCACTGAATGCAGTGGGGTTAACTTCCAAAACATGAAGGAATAAAACCATGTTGTTGATGTGGACACCACTATATGATGCTTGTCTGCTCAATGTTCAAAGATGGCTGCCTTATGCCAAGTGAGACTAGTGGTCTACCTAGCTCAGTATTGTCCACACTGATTGGCAATGGCTCTCCAGCGTTTCAGAGAGGAACCATCCCCAACCCTACCTGGAAATGCCAAGGATTAAACCTTCTGCCTGCAAATCAGATGCTCTAGTTCTACCACTACGTTATAGTGCTTTCAGTGGTAACATGGGCTGGAATGTATTTATTTTGGTTTATTTTACTCTTTTTGAGAGTTGCCTAATAATAATAATAACAATAAAGCACCCCCCCCAGGAAACATATACAGGAAGTTATAAGCCAAGGACAAGCTACAAAGATGCTCCAAAACCTCTGTGACCCCATAAGAATGTTAACATGGGTGTATCTTGGACTACGACTTGCACAAAACACAAAAACAAGAGTGCAAGCCATGTGACCACCAAAGGAAAATAAATGTTTTGCCTGGGGTTGTGTATACCTTTCCCATAAGAGACCACACCACAAGAGCCAGCAAAGCTCCCCCACCTCCGGGAGTTTGGATTAGAGGGGATACAGTGCAGGCTATGAGATGGTTTTCCTGCGAACTCGTGTGTCGGTTCCTACACACAACCCCAGCCGAAGAGGCAGGGAAGCCGGGCGACTGCAACTCTCGCCACCCCTGACAGCTGACCCCGTTGGCTGGGGCGAGTTCCTCCATAACGGGGCTGGGTGGGGACTAGGGAGAAGAGAGGACAAGGGAATAAAAAGAAAAGTCCCTGTAATCCTGGCAACTCCATACGATCCTGCAGAGACACCCTCCGCGGGGCTGCTACGGGGAGGGGCGCTTACCTTGGTGTCGACGTCGGCCAGGCAGTCCCTGCGGAAGGCGTCGAAGAGGCCGCGGCTCTTGAGCTGCCCCACGATGAGGGCGATGAGCTGCGCGTCGCCAGGGGGCAGCGAGGCCGGGTCCGTCGCTCCAGGCCCCGACGAGCTCCCGCCGCCTCCGCCCGTGCCGGACGACGCCCCGCCCGGCTCCGCCATCCCCCCGCCCGGCCCTCCCTGCACCGCCCGACGGGCCGCCGGAACAGCAGCGCCGCCGCCGCCGCCGCCCTCGCTCCCGCCAGGTGCTGCTGCTGCTGCAGGGGCGATGGTGGCGCCGCCGCCGCCGCCGCCGCGGCACCCTCTGCTGATCGCGCCGCGGCAGCTGTTGGTGACGTTGCCGTCGCGGAGCATGTGCGTCATGCCTTCCCGCTGCATGCTGGGAATCAGAGGCCTCCTCTCTCTGGACTGGGAGGGCGCAAACTCCCAGGAGGCTTTTATCGCGATAGCCATCTGGCAGGCTCCGTTGGGACGCGCTGACAGCTGCCCCAGCTGCAAAAGCCTGCAAAATTTGTGGATTGGTTGGCGCGGAGTCATCGCGCTCCGCCAATATTCAAGTGCGGGTGGGGTTCTAGATGAGCTATGGGGAGGGCAACGGGGATAAGGAAAGCAGCCCTGAATGCTGCAGCCCTGAATTCTGCAAGTCCTGGGGCCGCCAGAAAAGACGGGGCTGTGCACTCCCTCCTCTACCCCCGGCCTCATGTGCCCGCACTGCTCGTTTAGCAGGAGGATTTTCTGGTTGTCTGTCCCTTGCACATAGGGTTGCCGTATGTTCTCTTTTTTTTCCAGGACACGTCCTCTTTTTCATGGGGATGTAAAATGAGAGTCGTCATAGCGATCCATAGTTAAAAGTAAGGTAAAGGGACCCCTGACCATTAAGTCCAGTCGTGGCCGACTCTGGGGTTGCGGCGCTCATCTCGCTTTATTGGCCGAGGGAGCCGGCGTACAGCTTCCAAGTCATGTGGCCAGCATGACTAAGCCGCTTCTGGCGAACCAGAGCAGCGCACGGAAATGCCGTTCACCTTCCCGCCGGAGCGGTGCCTATTTATCTACTTGCACTTTGACGTGCTTTTGAACTGCTAGGTTGGCAGGAGCAGGGACTAAGCAAAGGAAGCTCACCCCATCGCGGGGATTCGAACCACCGACTTTCTGATCGGCAAGTCCTAGGCTCTGTGGTTTAACCCACAGTGCCACCCGACAGTTAAAAGTAGAAGTCGGCAAATGTGTCCTCTTTTTTGCTCTTCAGAATAATGGCAACCCTACATCACAGTACCCATTTTATCCCCTCTTTTTTTGCCTTTGGGGATGCCATGTTACACTTCCGTTCATGTGGGTTACTTAGAGTAGTTATCCTTCAGGTTCTTCCCTAAAGAGGACAGGGCTACTTGTAGGACAGACTGAAATGCTCCATTCTGCACAACTGTTCAAGGTGCAGTAACTTCTTTTTCACCTGACATCCCTCTGAAAGACAAATCCCTTGAGTTGGGGGTATTTGTGTGTGTGCATCTTTGTCCCTAGCACTCTCATCCATGCATATGCCCACAAACGTTACATATGCGCTGTTAGGGTGTGCAACCCTACAATCATAAACATGCCTGCTCAGAAGTAAGCCCTGTGGAACTTCCTGTTGCACCAGGGGCCCTGTCTCTAGTCTAGACACCTGGTGGAGAGTTCAGATGTTTGGTGGAGGATTGTGGATGGTCAGTGGTGAGGCAAATGCACTCCATATACATTTAGAGGCAGTATCTTGTTACTGGCATGCACGTACCAAAGCTGAGCTCTGCAATTCAAAACATTTCCAGTTCTGAGGCTTGGTGAGTCATAATGAAACTTAGCCCAACATCAGGTGTCCTAAGGCAGCAGGACTGTCCAGCGTTGACATCAGCTTTGGGCCCTCCATGCTGTGTGCCTCCATTTTAATTTCCGATGATGCCCCAGAATGACACCATGTCAGGTGCTCCGGGGCATTGTGGGGAACTGAAATGGGAGCTGCTAGCTACCCTTGGACTGCCAGCTAAGGCCATCAATATAAGGGGGGGCCCGCCAGGACTTGGAGCTGACTTAACGTGTTCTCCAACATTTCAGATGAAAACAGGGACACATGTAACCCCCATTTTTTGTAGGAAAGTAAGACTACCTGAGCCCCTCATTTAACACTCGTTGAAGGCTCTCCTCTACCTGCTATATTCATTTACTCTGCAATAGCTTGTCTCAGCAATTGTAGCGTGTGTGAACCAGCAGGCTGGGCCAGAGTGGTGTAGTGGTTGGAGTTTTGGACTAAGACCTGAGAAATAGGGGTCCAAAGTTTTAGTCTGCTATTATGCTCAGTGACCGATTATGGGCCAGTAACTATCTATCAGTTTAACCTACTTCACAGGGTGTTTTTTGTTTTGTTTTTTTTTTTTTTTGCAGGGATAAAAGTGTGGGAGAGGGCACCATGTACACCAAGCTAAGTTATTTCACAGAAAGGTGGGGTATAAATCATAAATGTTCCTAACTCCCCTCTCCCAATTAAAAGCCATTTTCTTAATGCCTAAACTCAATCTAAAACATTTAGAGTCACTTAATCTACATCCAAATAATTTCCTAATGTACCCACAGCAAAGCCTAAATGCTTCTGTGTGATGACATTGCTCACTACATTATGCTGCCTGAAACTCAGCCCCAATTCCACTCCACTAGAACCAACTCTTTAAAAGTCTTGCCAGGCCATTCAGACATGAGTTACTGCCTGCATCTTTCCACCCCGACCACCGTGCTACCTGAATCAGGCTGCTTCACTTTAAAATGCAGACTAACTGGGAGTTGCAGCCACGGATGCCATTGGGTCACCCTCCTTCTCTCAGCCTGAATCATCTCACAGGGTTAAGGTGAGGTTAAAATGGGCTAACCCTCTGATCTCCTTGGAGGAGAACTAAATTAACATGTCTGCGTCTGCACTTTAAAACTCCTTGTCTGAGTATTTTTTTCCCCTTCCAGCGGTTCCCTGCATAAACCCAATCGGAGCAAGTGGCAATCCATGAAAAACCTGGATTTCTGTTTGTTCTCATTCAGCATTAAAGAGCAGGTTTTCCCATGGAAAGCTGGGCAAAAAGATGAAGAAGAAGAGGCACTCAGACACATAAGCGGTGCCTAAAAAGCTGTGCTGCTGAGCCCTAAGTGTGATATATAAACTGGCCATGAGAGGGTACTGCAGCTTCACAGTTGTTAAATACGGTGGCAGTGTGGAGAGCAGGCTTGCTCTGAATTAGCTTTGAGAACAGGTTGAAAAATACTGTAGTAAAATTCACCTGCTTTCGCTGACTTGTGCCCTTGATCTCATGTAAGCAGTAAATAGGGCTGTTTTACAATTTGGGGAGATGTACTCTTGTGAACCTCCACATTTCAATCCCAGCAACACAAAAGCCAGCTTGCTTTTAACTGCCTTTTGGGGTAATTTGCATGTATAATAATGCACAAATTATCACAGGGGATACCCAGATGATTATGAGTCACGTGAATGTGCACTTGTTGCATGGCAACTAATCTATGAGAATAAATCCTTGCAAGAACAAGATGAGTGAAATGCAAACACTCAGCCAGCAGCAGTAGCACAGCTCAGCAACCATGGCTCTCCAACTCCCTTGACACACAGGAACACTTCCAACATGGATCTTACATGGTTGATGGAGGGGAAAAAGTCCTGCAGGGAAGGATGGGTGTGCCTCAGACAGAAGGGTATACCTCCCCCACTATTCAGATGTCTGGATTCCAATGTTAGCACTGAAGCACACAGTGCTACCTGGCAGCCCACTGAAATGATTGGAAAAATCAGTGGTAGCTGGTGCTCCTTGGGACTGATTGGTTGGAAGGCAGAGGTGCCAACAATAGAAGGAGCCAGAGCCAATTACATTCTAGTTTTGCTCCCACCTTCCTCCCTTCTCAGTTCCACAAAGGGCAACACTGAGACTAAGGAGTAGTAAAATGACAGGTAGTGCCATTCCCTGGACTCATTGAAAATAAGAAGGTAGGAATATGAAGGTGGGCTGAGATTTGTGGAAGAGTGCCTCACCCGTTTGCCCAATGGGCCAGTCTCAACTGGAAAAGTGAGTTGGTTTCTTCTGAGCCAAAGAAGTCCTTGAAAATTTTGGGCCTCAGTTATTGGTTGTAATGTGCAAGATCAACAGGTCCTCCAGATACTGTGAGATCTACTGGAGTTTTGTTCGAAGGAAAAGAGCAAGCTCAATCCCATGAGCACTGATCCATCATTCCTGCTGGACTGAGTCAAGACTTTAGGTAGTAGAAGAAAGGGGGAAGGGATTTATGTGAACTAAACTCTTGTGCCATAGGAATGGATGTTTTCCTAACCAATATTACCACAGACACCATCGCTCGCAACATCCGCCCGCACAAGGTTTTCCTGAGTTGTTGTTTCTTAATTGCAGGTGTTTCGCAGCGTTTTGTAAGCAGCAAGCAGTCAAGACTGTTGCCTGCTCTCCCTGAAGTTCACAAAACATTCTGGTTCTCCTCTGTCACAGAGGGTAAAGCTAGAAGGGTGATTGGTTTCTTGGACTTGTCACTGATATTTACTATAGGCCAGCTCAAACATACAAAATAAACCTCCCACATGAGAGCTTACTCATGTGGATAATTTAGTGCATGAGTTCACAGCTTCCTGGTGGCAATTTCTACTGCCATGCCAGCACATTTTCCTGCTGTGGGAGTCACTTTTAGGTATATCTATCCCCATGACTAGATGTCATTGTAGCTGATAGACCATTAGCCCAAATGTGTACATTAAGTACAGGAGTAGCATCTCTTCTGACTACTGAAGCAGGTGGCAGGAGGCAGAATTTTGCATGCAAACACAGTCCTTGGTGCCTGATTAAAATTCAGCTGCCCTGAGAAGCAGTGCAAGCTACCCAGTACCATCTGTCAGCGAGGGGGGGGGGAGATAGATATATACTCACATTCAAAGGCATAAAACCTATGCACTGAAAAAGACTGATCTGAATGCAGATGTTGGCCTAGGTGGCAAGGGATCTGAACACTAAACTCCAATTTTCACTTGGCATTTCAAAGGGTCCCACACTAGGCCTTCTAATGTGATATTTGCACAAGGGTTTGCGTTGGCATTCATGGGGGGGGCAGTCCTGCAGACTGATTCTGTGCATTTGACCTCCCCAGGTTGTACCACATCTGTGCCAACTCAGTGCCAATCCTTTAGAAGTCCAAACAGAAGCATCCATGGCTTCAACTGAGACTTGAGGGCACAGTCCACACAACAGAAAGATAAACAAATCCCTGAAATTGGCAAATAGCACTTCTTTCCCCACAATAATCCTTCCTGAACTTCCAGCCGTGCACTAGGGGACTAAATTGGGAGTGGGATATATGTC